GCTTGTCACCGCCCACTGATAGCAGAAGTTTACTAGATAAAGCCACATGTTAAGTCACCTGCATCGGTCTCTCGCCTGTCAACTTCGTCGTACACGTCCATGGCAAGTTCTTCAAACAAATGATTACTTAGCTGAAAGTAAAACATATCAGGAACACAAGGGACAAGGATTAACACTAGAGGGGCCTTAGTTACCCCCTTATCTCCAATGTCTTACCCAAAGCCAGTGCTTATTAGCAAATACCCACTGTTAAAAGAGCAGACAATACAAATTTCCAAATAGTACAGATCCTCTAGGAATTGCCTCCCACAGCAGCCTCGTTACTTTCTGATACACAGACATGGGTGTTGCTACTAAGGATGTAAAATAGATGCACAGGGCATAATTTCAAAAGCAAGTTCCAGTTCTCTACTCTTCATGTGATATTACCCTTTTGGTTTCTTCTTCTGCTCTCGAGAGCACTTACCAGTTTCCCAAAATATAAGGGATCCTAAACACTTGGTAGGATAAAGAAGCCAAAACAAGCCATGTTGAGATTACAATGTGTCATTGAACAAAAATATTACCCAGGTCTCAGTTAAGTTTATCTGCTACCTTCCTTGCTAGCAGTCCTTCACTCCCCAGAAGAACTGAACTTTCCCAGTGGAGCACAGATTGATTGGTGAGTACACTGTGTAGTGTTAGCTAACCAAACGATCACCACACAGACTGAAGCGCCTAATGGAGGCGGTGGGGATGGGTAGGACAACCAAGGTCTTCCTCAACTCTGCCCAGGTGAAGCCGCTAGGAGGGTGGCCCCAGTTCTCCTTGCACATTTTCTTTCATAAAACTCACCCTGGCACTGACAGCTGTCACTATTTAATCAGCTGCTTCCCTGCTCTGTGAGGGCAGACTCTGCATTTGTTACCTTCCCTACTGTGTTCCTTACACACACAAACAGGACAGGGCATTTAGGAGGTACTCAATAAATAGCTACTCACGGAATGACCAGGAGGTAGTACTTTATGCAGTAATTTAAAATGCTGGCTACAAAGACCTTATCCAAAACCAAACCTGTTGCCATTGAGTCGATTCTGACTCATAGCGATCCTACAGGACAGAGCAGAACTGCCCCATAAGGTTTCCAAGGAGCAGCTGGGGGATTCGAACTGCCGACCTTTTGGTTAACAGTTGAGCTCTTAACCACTGGGCCACCAGGGCTCCACAAAAACCTCATAGGAACACATTAAAATGTGTACAATACACTGCTGGGTTAAAAAAAGAATAAAAAAAAGGATATAAAATTCTATAATTATGATTTTCAGTTTAAAAAATGATATGCATGTGAAACAAGAATTGGAAGAAATACACCAAAATATTGAGTCTGAATCCATTAAGAGTATGGTGATGGAGAATGCTTCCCCCTTCTCTATTTTTCAAATGTTCTCTAATCTGGTTATATTACATTTATAATTAAAAATAAACTCTGAGAGCCTATTGCTGGTTAAGATGATGAAGAATTGGGAACTTGACCTTGCTTTATAAATATAGCCTCTATCCTCTAAGGGGGCTACAAGCTAGTGTTATTGTTACTAACAACAACTATAATGGCTAATACTGATTGATTGCTTACATCCCAGGTACTACACTAATATTATCACGTTTAATACAGCAGCCCTATAAAAACAGGAACTACTATCATGCCATTTTGCAGACAAGGAGTTGAGGCGCAGAACTTAGTAGCTCGCCTAAAGTCACAAAGCTACTAAGTGATGGACCTGAGATCCAAATTTGTCCCTCAAAACATTAACATTTACTGACTCCAGGAACACATTAATTCTCGTTCTACTCCTCTCAGTTTTTCATCAGGAAGGAGGGGAGGAAGGAAGGCACCAAAGGACAAACACTAAACTGGCACTGGTAAGAGTGGTCACCTATGGGAAGGGGACTACAGAGTGGGGGTCAACAAGTAATAACAGCAGCAGCTAACTGTTACTGTGCAGTAATGATTTGCAACCCCTGCTGTATCATTATCTCCTTTTTCTAGAAGAGAACACCAACGCACAGAGAAGCTAAGGAGCTTGGCAGAGCCGAGATCTGGACCAATCTGCCCCAGATCCCAAGTTCTTGAGTGCTGTACTAAACCTGGAGCCCCTGTGGTGCAGTGGTTAAGAGCTCGACTGCTTGAATCCACCAGCCATTCCTTGGAAACCCTATCGGGCAGTTCTACTCTGTCCTATTGGGTTGCTATGAGTCGGAATTGACTCGAGGGCAATGGGTTTGGTTTTTTTGGTACTAAACTTTGTTCCAGATATTTATTTAGTGCCTGCTACATGCTAGAAATATTACAGACATAATCCTGGCTTTAATGAAACTTCCAGCCTAACGAATGTAGATTAGTCAAAGGGAATAATAATAATTTGATTACATATTACTTAATAAAAATAAATCACTCAATATTTAGTGCTATCAGACTCCAAAGCTTAATCACCTTACTATGCAAACTCCTTAATTGAAGAAAGGCAATAAAACACACAGACACACAAAACCGTAGATATAGAACACAAAGACACCAAACAAATTGCATAAAATACATTTATTTCATATTACAGTTAAATACTAGTGAAGGATAAATTC